TCGGGCTGGAGGAGTAAGTGCACTGTAGTTTAAAATAAACGCAATAGGGTCAATCATGAATACACGCAAAAGGTGTGTGCTAGAAATGTTAAACTACAGGGAAAAGTACGATGTTTCTGTGTTTTATTGATACTTTTTTAAATGTTTTATTTTGTGAAATAGAAAATGGGGAAGATTGAGGAGAGTGTGCTGCAAAGGGCGCAGGCCGTAATCGAACCACTGGACCAAATAGGCCTTGTGATATTATTACTACTTTATAAATATATGCGTTTGCAGTTAGACCTTGTGTTTGTATATTCATTTGATTATAGTATAATTTAGTATCTTCTGATCCAGGTCAAACGGTTGATCTGTTAAAGAGATCTTAGCTTGATCTGCGAATGACCAGATAGTTCTTACTCCGAGTGTGGCCATACGTAGGTGACCGTATCTCAGTCGGAGAACATGCAACTGTCATGGTTCAGTGGGAGTGTTGCACATATATTATTTACAGAACCAATTAAATGACTTCCAAACATTTGAGGAAAAAACCTGACTTTGTTTCTGATTAATAAATATGTAAACGTATAAGAATATGCACCAAAACAATAGTAATCCACAGCAAAAGCAGCTGACAGCAAACAATCATCAAGGAGGCTTTGTTTTCTGTTCATGATGAATGAACAATAGTCTGCTAAACCAGCCCCACAACAACAACACATCTAGTTGACCTCTAGAAATATGAACCGGTTGTTAAAGGTTGTCACTATCCAACATATTATATTTTGGAAATGGAATCGGAAATTCCCTTGAGAAATTTGAACAACCTTGGGAGTGGCCGTCCCACTTCCTAACCTGTAATCTTATCAAGGGGCGGGGCTAGAGTTTAACATGATTATTCAACTTTTCAGATCACACACTCTTTAACCATTTTAATTTACGTAATTTTAGGAATTAATTATAGAATTACATTTTAGGATTGTACCAACATTACAAGTGTCGATTACCGGTATGTATGACAATGTTTTTGCTCTACACATTTCCGAACCGGGACGGTCATATTTTTATTGAGTTTTGAAAGAAAGAATTGATTTAGTCCTTAATAAGTTGACCAAAGATAATTATGAATGACCAAGAAAAAACAACAACAGTACGGTATTTTAACAGTATTTTATTCCTTTTATGACAAAATAGTTTGAAACTGTTTGGTTATACTAACCAAAAAAAGGACCACAATCTAAAAAAATGATTTAGTTCACTAAGGTACAAAGCAAATGGTTAAATATTACTGTGTTCCAAATACACTTGTTATGTTGAGTCTAACACAGATACTGGCAAGGCAATGTTTTAAAAGCATAAACCGAGACTTTACATAGGCTATTATAATTTAATTTCTTGATTTATATAACACAGAAAAAACATCTTTCCATGAGAATATTTGCCGTTTGAAAAATAGAAATGGACAAAAAAAATCTTACCAACCTTATGATTTGGCCGTGGGTTCTTACAATTATCAGTTAGTTTACGATTGTGTTCGAGGTAGATTTCTTATATTTTTAACTGTTCATTTTTTCCAATATAAACCTAGGCAGAATTATAAGAATTTGCTGCTCTTAGCATTTGAAAAGAAGCAACAGTGTAGAGTAAGTCTATGTACCTGTTTGCTAGGAGAGAACTAATATTATTACATGATTTAAAATGTAATCTTCAACTCAAGCACTTACCAATAGGCCCTAGACTAACTCCTAGACTAACTTATAGACTGACTCTAAACTCAAGCATTCAGTACACTACAGTCAGGATAACTATATACCCAACAACAAAAATATAATGTAATGAAAAAAAATCACAGCTACACTCTCACACAAATACAAACAAGAACAAAGTAAAGCTACAATTTTCTGACGAGGCTCCATGTTGAGATTTTATATGTTCAAGATGTTCAAGAGTTCCTAGGTCTCCAGGTGAATAGAATATTCCGGTGGCCACAGAAGTCCCGATTCAGAATGGCACTCGGATCACTGATCTTCCCTGGATCTGGATGTCATCGAAAGGAAACAGAGCAAGAATCTGGAAGAAAAACATGCATCTGTGAGCGTTATGACCACTTACAGGTGAAGCAAATAACAAGGGCACCTGTCAAAATCTGGATAGATTAGATGGTGAAGAGAAAAATCAGATCTCGTAGTCGACATGTTTGGGGCAGGATGAATGGGCTGGGGTAAAGACTTTGACAAGAGCCAAATTGTTATGGCCAGATAAGTGGGTGAAAGCCTCTCTAGAACAGCAAGTCTGTACTAGACCAGGTACAACCCTAGACCAGGTACACCCCTAGACCAGGGACACCCCTAGACCAGGGACACCCCTAGACCAGGTACACCACTAGACCAGGTACACCACTAGACCAGGTACACCACTAGACCAGGTACACCACTAGACCAGGTACACCACTAGACCAGGTACACCACTAGACCAGGTACACCACTAGACCAGGTACACCCCTAGACCAGGTACACCACTAGACCAGGTACACCACTAGACCAGGTACACCACTAGACCAGGTACACCACTAGACCAGGTACACCACTAGACCAGGTACACCACTAGACCAGGTACACCACTAGACCAGGTACACCCTTAGACCAGGTACACCACTAGACCAGGTACACCACTAGACCAGGTACACCCCTAGACCAGGTACACCCCTAGACCAGGTACACCACTAGACCAGGTACACCACTAGACCAGGTACACCACTAGACCAGGTACACCACTAGACCAGGTACACCACTAGACCAGGTACACCACTAGACCAGGTACACCACTAGACCAGGTACACCCCTAGACCAGGTACACCCCTAGACCAGGTACACCCCTAGACCAGGTACACCACTAGACCAGGTACACCCCTTCATGGCAAGACCTTGATAATGGATAATGCACCCTGCCCCACTGCACATGGTTTTAGGTAAATTATGAAGAGTTCAAGGTCTTGGCCTGACCTCCATATTCCCCAGATCTCAGTGTATTTAGGAATCTGTGGGATGTGTTGGACCAACAAGCCCGATCCACAGCGTCGCCACTGTGGCAACTTACAGGACGTATCACGGGTCATAATGTTTTGTGTATCTGGCACTAGACTTGTGGAGTCACATGAAATAGACAAAACGGCTGTTTTCCCAAACAGAAAAAAATCCTATGAGAACCAAAGCAAGTTTAACGTGTTTTCATGTCACTTACAAAGAGCTCGTCTGTTTCTCGATTTTGCTCTGCTTCTTTTTAATCACTACATCTGAGAGAAAACCGGAAGCCCGACTGAATGCAACCAATTGGTCCATGCAGATCAAAGAATGTAATCAGACACCTTTCGTTTCTCCACATTTTGTCTCGTTATATTAATTAGAACGAAATAAAAAAATATAGAAACATTACACACATTACACCAAAGACGATTAGATATTATATCCGATTTTTTCAATTTAACAAAACAAAATAATAAGTGAATGAATAAATGAAGGGTTCTGAATAATTTCTAGAGTCACTATGAAATTCGCTACCCTTTATTGGACAGAGGAAGTGAGAAATATGTCAGTTTTTTCCCTGAAGAGCAGTAGGTCTAATACAACCATTTCATTCCTCAAAAATAAACTCTCCACGGCCAATAATTGGTGTTACACATGAGATTTGTCTATGTTTAATTTTAACCTCACTGTGCATCCCAGGGTTAAACCTACAGCTTGTAGACTAATACAGAAAGCATGTTCAAATAGAGAGTGCTTTCTGTTGAGTATAAATATCGTTTGCTAATTTGTGTGTTTTTGGGCGGGAAGGGGGGCCGTCCCGTTCTGCAGAACTCACATCATCTTTGCCGTCGGCTAGATCCAGTGGCGTTTCGCCCTCCATGTTCCGCAGCATCCTGTCGGCACCTGAATGGCAGAGCAGATCGGCGATTGTGATGTCCTGCCGGCCCACGGCCAGGTGAAGCGGCGTGCAGCCGTTGAACATGGCGGCGTCCACGTTTGCGCCGTTGTGCAGCAGCTGCGTCACAGAGTCAACGTCATGGAGTTCCACAGCCAGATGGAGAGGCGTCTTACCACTGGTACCTTCCTGAGGGGACAGAGAGAGGACAGGCCACGCTGAGAGATTCGCTGATATCCAGTTCTTCATTTGTGACACCAACTCCCAGTGGACCCGAGACGTCTCTATTCTGCGGGCCGAACTCTCGTACTCTACTACCCTCCGTGGGTCAGTTATGTTATGATGTCTGTGGTACGTTATGTCATGATGTCTGTGGTACGTTATGTCAGTTATGATGTCTGTGGTACGTTATGTCAGTTATGTTATGATGTCTGTGGTACGTTATGTCAGTTATGTTATGATGTCTGTGGTACGTTATGTCAGTTATAATGTCTGTGGTACGTTATGTCAGTTATGATGTCTGTGGTACGTTATGTCAGTTATGTTATGATGTCTGTGGTACGTTATGTCAGTTATGTTATGATGTCTGTGGTACGTTATGTCATGATGTCTGTGGTACGTTATGTCAGTTATGATGTCTGTGGTACGTTATGTCAGTTATGTTATGATGTCTGTGGTGCGTTATGTCAGTTATGTTATGATGTCTGTGGTACATTATGTCAGTTATGTTATGATGTTTGTGGTACGTTAGGTCAGTAATGTTATTGGTGGATTTTCCCAATAGGGAATTCCATAAAATCAGGGACGGTAAACAGCATTTTAGGTGTCAAAATTGAAGAAAAAAAATCACCAGACTAACCTGGATGTCAAGATCTGCACCTTTTGTCATCAGGATCTCAATCAGACGATGCTGTTTACTCACGATGGCTAAGTGAAGACATGTGAGACCTGAAATAAAAAAAATATTCAAAATGAGAGATTAAAAGCATTTTACTAGGTAATATATCCAGTCAATGAGAAAGAACATCATTGGAATTTAATTTAACCTTTATTTAACCAGGTAGGCCAATGGAGAACAAATTCTCATTTGCAACGGCGACCTG